GAAAAACTGTAAAAACTGAATAAAAACGAGAAAAAAATGTTCTTCAGCTTATAACAGGCGACTCGATATAACTACAAAGATGTATGTAGGCGCGTTGGAAAGGTGAGATTTCAGCTTTCAACGAGTGGTCTATGATTTAAATGTAGGCGCGTTGGAAAGGTGAGATCTTCAGCATTCATACGAGTGGTCTGTGATTTAATTACCTTTAGTGGTTGTCGAGAAATTCACTTGTTGTTGAGTCTACTACAATCTAATGGTAGCGTAAAAGAAGGAACTCAAACGAATAAAATGTTGCGAGTACGTTACAATATATTTATTTACTTAAATGTACAAAATTCGATTCGATTATATACTATGGCACGGACAAGGTGCGATTAATGGAATTAATTGAATTATTTTTTTACATTCTTATTTAAAAATTATAATTATGCTAATTTCGGTTTCCCTTATCATTACAAATTAAAAACAAGATCTATTATATATGTTTAATTATATATATATATGTATATATATTGTATATATATATATATGTATCGTTTCATCAAAAATTTATATCACAGACAGTTAGGGCAAGAGATACAAAAAAATACAGGATTCTGCGACAACGATATTCTCCCATATTTCAAAGAACCCATATAGAGACGAAACAAGAGACAAGCAATAAACTAGGGAAACATTAAATATAGCATTCACATTTGGTTGATATGAGAGCAGAAGAGGGGGGTTAGTGGGGGTTGAATTTGTCGTAGGTGACGAGAGGAATTGTTTGGAATATATACATTTTATCATCGACAGACACATTGACCGCAAACGACATTAAACTTGAATACAAACAAAGAAAAAAAAATATAATAATCATATATAACATTAACAATATGTGTGGGGAGAGAAGTTAGTTAGTGTAGGCTGTCGAGTGTGTGTGTGTGTGATGACACTGGTTGGCTGGCAATTGAGAAAACAAGGTCGTCTGTACAATAGTTTTCTTTTAGCGGTTATCATCAACGTATGCAGACAGTGCAGAAACTTGTGGTAAATGGCACACACGAGATTAACATTTATTATTGTCCACGCACGAATAGTTTGCATTAGCATTAGTGATAGAAGAATAGCACTAGTATAAGTTATTATACAGTCGTCTCGCCGTTGCGATGAAGCGGTTGCAATTCGCGCTGCAATCGATCAAAATCGTTGTAATATTCATGGTCCGATTCCTCCTCGGAGCTCTTTTGCGATGACAGGTGATAATTGTTGTTGTTGGTTGTGGTGGTGGTGGTGGTGTTGGAGGAGGAAGAGTTTGAGGAGGCGACGACCGAATGCTGATCGGGGCAAGAAGCACTATCGCCCCACGGATGGACTTCGACACCGTCACCGTCCTGCACGATCTCGGAGACGGTTGGAATGCCGATAGTTTGTGAGGGATGATGATGGTGGTGGTGGTTGTATTGTTGTTCTTGATACGATGGAGGCAGTTGTTGTCGATGGGCGGTGGTGATTATGATGGATGAGGGCGACGCTGGAGGATCATTGCTCATCAGATACTCGGGATTGTCGATGTTCGTTTTTCTAAAGTTCGTCGTCGTCGCAATCGGCGTTGTGGGAAGAGCTGGATGCGTTAGATAGGACGGCGAAGACAAACAGGATGATCTCCTTCCTGCCTCCGATTCGTGCAGTATGTGTTGCTGCTGCTGTTGAGGATGATTATGATGATGGTTCGTTTGCAAATGATGATGGTGATGGTGTTGCTGGTGATTATTATTATTATTGAGATGATGATTGTAATAATTGAACTGATGGTGGTCGTTTGTGTTATTGTAGCTGGGACTTTTGCACGAATCGGCCATAAGTTCGACGTATGTCGAAGGCGCTTGCAACTGTTGAGGGGATGGAACGAGATAGTCGTCTTCGTCCACAGGCAGCTCCAACTTTACGTTACCCACCTGCGCCTGCTGAGATCGGACTCCACCCGAATCGTACTCGTCCGAGCCCAAATCGTTGCCACCAACAATATTGTTGCTGCATCGCTGCTGCTGTTGCAGTCCGACGGCTCGTCCTGTGCCACCTCGCCGCAACAACGAATCTCCGCAATAGCGTGGCATCACCATATTATTATTTGCTTGCTGCTCGTTGAGATGCGCATGCTGCTGCTGCTGCTGCTGCTGCTGCCGGTGATAATGATTAAGACGATGAAAGTCTTTGTCGTCGAGGTCCGGATGATTGTGGTGGTCTGCATCTGTTCGTTCGTTCGTGCTCGCGTTAGAAGAAGCATCATCTGCAGCAGCATTCAGCGGTGATGACTTGATGAAATGCAGTCTCCGCTCCTGGTTCCAATTGTGCTGATTTTGGGGTGCGCACGTGCCACCACCCTCCGATGACGTCGACATCATCATCATTGCTGGTTGCATACGGTTATGACCGCCCGGAATACCAAGCGCCAACTCGTTGTCGCGGTTCTTTCCGTTATCGTTGTCTTCGTCGTCGTCGTCGTTGTGGCATATGTGATCACCACCGTAGGAGTCGTTCTCGCAGCGACGCGCACCCACGTCCTTCTGAAGATCACAAGAATCGCTGCGATTCGAATGCAAGGGTGGCGAATGCAAGTTTCTCCTCTTAAGTGTGACTCCGTTTCCGTCGTAATGATGAAGATTATCCTGCAAGAAGAATGTGTCGATATTAAATTGCAATTAAATTCAACTACTACTACTACTACTGTAGCTATGACTGATTGCCAGTACGAGACTTACCTGTATATGATAATTCTGCTGGAGAAGGTGTTGTTGTTGTTGCTGTAACCTCAGATGCACGTCGTCTCCAGGAATTGCAAGGTAGCGGCCCGGATCCATGGACATTCGAGAAAAGTGTTCTTCGAGCTCCTTGAAGCAGGGTCTGTTCTCGGCGTCAAGTAACCAGCACTTGACCATGATCATGTAGACGTCAATGCTGCATATCTTCGGCTGCGGCAGACGTTCGCCGCTCTCGAGCAACTCGGGCACGTTCATCGCGGGTACCTTGTCGTAGGGTTTGCCGCCGTAGGTGAGGAGTTCCCAGACGGTGACGCCGAACGCCCAAACGTCCGACTTGTGCGTGAAGATGCGATGCTGTATGCATTCCAATGCGAGCCATTTGATCGGCATCTTGCCGCCGGCGGCCTTGTACTCTTCTTCGTTGATGTCCAGCAGTTTGGCAAGTCCAAAGTCGGTGATTTTGACGCAGGCCAGCGACTGGACAAGCACGTTGCGCGCTGCTAGATCCCGATGCACGAGTCTCTTCTCCTCAAGGTACGCCATGCCGCGCGCGATCTGCGTGCACCAGGAGAGCATGGATTTCGCTCGAATCCGATCGCGCCTCTCACGCACGAAATCCAGTAGGCAGCCGAGCGGCATCAGCTGCGTGACGAGCATCATCTGCGAGGCCATGCACACCGCAAGAAGTTGAAGCAGATTCGGATGTTCAACGCTTGCCATGATGTACGCTTCGTCCAGGAATTCCTTGCTGTTGTTTGCGCCGGTATCATCGCGCAACAGTTTGATAGCGACCGGCACTTTGATGCTCTCACCTTCCGGCATCCAGACGCCCTTGTAGACGGTGCCGAATGCTCCGTAGCCGAGGATACTGCCGCGTCCCAGGTCCGCCTCCTTGATGATACGCAGCTGAGCGAGATTGGGTAGAATCTTGGACGGTCGAAGAGGTTCGTCCTCGAGGCCGGTCAACGCCATCGTCATCTTGATGGCGCTCTCCGCAACCTTGGTCTTTTTGCGCCACACGAAGAGGAAGACGAACGCGCCCAGCGCCAACACGAACACGAACAGTCCGACCGTGCCCATGAGGATGGTCGATGGATTCGTCGCAACGTAGGATTGGAATGCGCGGCTCGCCGTCTCCGAGCAGTACGTCTCGGAGAGCTCCTGAGAGTAGACGCGGTTCGGCCTGTCCGACGGGCACGTCGCCGCGCACACAAAATCAACCGAAGAGGATGATGAGGAAGAGGAGGAGGAGGAGGAGGAAGAAGCATTACCGTCGTCTATCATTATTCCCGCGACAGCGTTCGTCGAATATACCTTCAGCTGTTGGCAAGCTATGCAATTTGCAGGTCCGTCTCCGGTGCATCCTTTGCACTCATCGTCGCACTTGATGCAGACGTGCAGTTCCTCGTCCGCGTAGTGATCGGCAGGGCACTCGTCCTCGCACTGCTCGCCTCGCTTGTACTTGGCGCACTCCTTGCAGATGGGTTCGTGGAAGCCGAAGCCGATGCATCGTTTGCAGCGCGGATGGCACTTTCTGCAGATTGCGCTGCCGACGAGCGAGTCGGTCTGCCGCTCGACGAATTCGTAGTAGAAACCGTCCGGACAGGGTTCCTCCTTTTTCAGGCAGACGGTCAGAGTGCCGTTCATGATGGAGCGATCGCACGATTTGCAGCCGTACGCGCCCAACTGATTGCTGGGTCCGGTGCAACCGTCGACGCAGTTCTCGTGGCATGACCTGCATACGCCGTCGATATCACTGTACTTGGCCGTAGGACATCCGGATACGCAGAAAGGACCGTCCTTGTAGTGTCTACACGTGGTGCAGCTGTCGGCGCCGGGACCGCTGCATCCCTCGCCGCACTGCTCGTGGCATTTTCTGCACTGCATGTTGTCCGAATGGTAGATTCTGCGAGAGAGGGAGAGAGAACAATTAATACACATTGAAGCATGGTTGCGCATGTATGCAAATGTATGTATGTTTGTAATAGTACACTTACCCAGAGATCACGGTACAATTCTGAAGACACGTGCCGTCATACATGTAGTTTTGACAGGCCAAACATTGATCGGGCCCGGAACCCCAGCAGCCATCCTTCGTGCACTGTTCGTCGCAAACGCGACCCTCGCGGCGGCACTCCTCCTCCTTTCGATTCGTCTTCATCATCGAGTAGTTCTCGCTGCTGCCGACGACGCCGCCGCCCCCGCCGCCACCAATGCCAACGCCTCCGTTGCCGCCGCCGCCGCTTCCAATTCCTCCTCCGCCACCTCCGATGTTGTTGCTCTTCGTCATCACCTTCGTCCAGTTGATCTTTTCCGCGTAGCAGAGGTTCGCATTCTCGAGCATAACGACGGCCCCGGATTTGACATGCCGCAGCGACTTCAAGCCGAGCGATTCCAGGGACGTCTTCACAATGTACACGGACGAATGGTAATCGTGCAGGGTGCGACCGCCGATGACCTCCAGATTTCGAAAGTAGCTCAGATTGCGAAAGTCCGTGTGATTCGCCTGGATGTCGATGAAACCGGTGATCTCCCTGAGCGTGCTGAAGACCTCCAGACGGTCGGGATGCATGGGCGGAATTCGAGCGCCGAACGTGTAATTCGGATAGATGTGCTGGAAGCCTTTGAACGAATTCTCGAGGATGTGCACGAAACCATCGATGACGGTGCAATTGCGAAACGATTCGATGTTGTTCGCGTGAAGAGTGACGTCGCCGACGCACGTCTTCGGACACGGTCCATCGCATGGTACGCATTCTCCGTCGTGCGCCTTCTCGTTGGGTGGACAGGTGCGAACGCATGCACCGTTATCCCGCAGGAGATGCTCCGGACAGTTCTTGACGCAGGTGGCGCCGTACGCGTACTTGCCATTTGGATTCGGTTCCCACGAGTACGTCGTCGGATTGTATATCTTCATAGGGGGACATTCCTGCGTGCAGACGCCGTCATCGTAAAAGTTTTTGCATGCGATGCAGTCGCTCTGCTTGGGACCCGTACATCCTCCTGCGCAGAACAGATGACAGCATTCGCGCGGATTCGATCCGAAGCATCGGCCCTGATAGCACTGGGGACTGCACGACTCCTTCGAGAATCGTTGACAATTCTCTTCTCCGTCGCCCCAGCAACCGGCTTCGCAATTTCGATGGCACGGGGGGCAGACCCTTTCCGGCGACGTGAAATTGTAGACGTACACGTAATCACCGACCGGATCCGTCATGATCTCCTTCCAGTTGATCGTCTTGATGTGGCACAGATTGTAGTTGCTGACGATGCCGACGCTGCCGCTGAGGACATCCCTCAGTGCGGGCAGTTCGAGCGAGTACATTTTGGAGAGGGTGACCATCAGTGCGAACTGTTCGTCGCGCACGTTCAACTTGAACAGGGTTCGTCCCCTGATGATCTGAAGCCTCGGCAGGACGATCCTCCTGATGTCGACCTGCGAGATCAGCACGTATCCGGTCACCTCTCTGATGTACTGCAGGAAGGACAGATCCAGATTCTCATCCTGCAACCACGTCAGCTCCAGATTTCCATCGACGTAGGTGCAGTTCGTGAAGCGATCCTTTAGATTTCTGTAGTGGTGATCCCTGTTCGACGGCACCGACATCCGACCGTTCGTACCGATGCAAACTGTTCAAACAAACAAACAAAAAATATTTAGAAACATTTAGAAGTATTGCACCTGAAAAAGTAAATCCGAAGATCGAAGCTCTTCACCGTGGTGGCAAAGAAGAAACCACCTAACAAATCACTGAAATAACTGCTGCAATCATCATCATCGTCATCATGGACGCTGTTTAATTTCAAGTGCAACTGCTAGTATTATATGCGTATTACTACATCTGAACAGTGGAGAAGAATATGATAAGAGGATTGTCGTTGTCGAGTTCGACGAACCCGAGACACCTATTATTCCCCCGTGCGAGGTACGCTTACACGAGACATTTTCTTCTCTTTTTCAACTTTCACCGCATAATTATTTCATTTTCCACCAAAACAACAAACCATAAAAAGCATTACAACAAATTTGACTGCGTTTTGCAAATTATACATTGCTTCTTTTTTTTCGAATATTATTCATATCATGTCAAAATAAATGCGCAATTGGGAAATTCCTTTGAGATTCGCGGCCGCTCGAGCAGCAATAGTAGTAGTGGAAGGTTTATTTCGTGTGCGCGTTTGTGTACAATCCTTACAATGCTTGAAAGTCGAGAGGTTGAAACTACCTGAGAAAAGAGGAGCGGGCAAGAAGTAAAGAGCGCGCGCGAAAGAGAGAACAGCAAGTAATAGGAAGATAGGTAGGTAGGTAGGTAGAGAGAGGTAGATGGGTGGGTGTTTAGGTAGGTAGATAGATAGATAGATAGACAGAGAGAAGCAAGGTAAGGAAGATTGAGTGACAGCTAACAACGATAATTTCAGGTACACAACTTTTAATGTATAGAAATATTTCTGGCCGCAGAGCATCGAAATTCTTGGTACAAAAAAAAATATATATGAAGTGAAGCGAATGCGAAATGCGGCAGCGACGGGGGTTCGTCGCTTCGCAGAGCGTCCAAGTCTCCCGTCGTCCAAACTATATTCGCATTTAAAATGCGCGTTATCTTACTTTTTCCTTTCGTGAATTCCGATTCCCTATCGTACGGCGATGACGAAGACGACAATGATGATGACGACGGAGGACGTGAGCCTCCTCCACCGCCACCAGCAGCAGCTGCTGCCAGCATTGCCTTGGAAGCAATTTGAAGGGCGGCGTGTTGTTGGTGCTGCTGCTGTTGTTGTCCATTCGAATGTTGGCCAGCACCACCCGCACCTGCAGCACCGTGTTTATTTCTATTCCTCAAAGAAGAAGCTGCTGCACCACCGTTCTTCGCCGCACAGACAACACTGCCACCGTTCGAATACGATAGAACAACAAGTAATAACACTACGAGCACAAGAGGTGCCTCCTTGGCAAATGACGATAATATCCTGGTGGAGGAACACCTTCCCATACCGCCGACGGGGCGCCACAACATGGCCATTTTAATATATGTATATATATATATATATATATAGAGAGAGAGAGAGAGAAAGAAAGAAGGAGATGACCCTGGGTCACCGGTCCTTCGTCACATCGTTCACATACATGTGCGGATCGCGATCACCGCAAACTACACTGAAAGACTGCCGCAGCAATGGTAACGGCAACACGGACACCGCAAAGTAACAAACACCACCACCATAACCATGGTACGTACACTCTTTCTCTATCTTCCTTCGCACTTCTCTCACCTACGTTCGTTCTTTCGTTCGTTCGTACGTTCGTTACCTGCACCTCTACCTATCTACAGGTGGGTTAGTTCGGATCTCAGGTACTGAGTAGCGGCAGATCGGAGGACGAACGAATGCGCACGAACCGGCATCATGCATCCTCGTTCCACCGACGCATTGAATACGGTAAATGTGTGAGAGAGAAAGAGAGGGAGAAAGGCCGAAGAGGCGGACGAATTTACTCGTATGGTGGCGCGAGGTGAAAACGAGTCCGAAAAGTTTCTTTCCTCGCCTCTCCTCTTCATTCCACTCCACTCTTTTCCTCTTACACGATTCCACCGCTGCAAGCCGGCCGATGAAGAAGAGAAAGGAAGACGGTGGCGGCGGCGGCAGCTACGCAACGGGGACCTCACCAAGTCACAAGACACACCAATTTATACCACTTCTTCTTCCTCCAATTTCTATACAATCTAAAACAATATTCTATAGAACCGTTCAGCATTGATAAAATGAAACTCGTCATAAAAATCGGTTATTACTATAATAAAACAACAAAATATTGTTACGAGAGAACGTGAGCACGCTTATTTTAATAGATGCGAGAGAGAGAGAGAGATAAGCATGCATACGCTTAGGGGAGATTTTTTACAAACGAACAGAGTATGATGACGACGGCGATAAGAGGAGAACTCACTCCTTCTCGACAGTAAATTCCATAACGCTCAGTTAAAATATTGACCGTCGCTACGGCCAACAAACAATTCTAAAAGTACTAGTTACCACTCCTCGCTTGTATGCTACGAGGAAGAAAGAGAAGTGCGATGGTGAAGGGAAAGGCGACGGAGGTTTGCTTTGCATGTTGCCTTAAGAAATATTAAGAGATATATGTTAAGTTGGACGAGACGTTGAAGACGGCGTCGTTTGCCAGCAAATTGCTTTCAATTCAGGTGAAAAATATTATATCCGAAGGAGATTGCAACGCTGCGTGAAGACGCAACAGAGGACGTGTGGATATGAAGAAAAACGCAGAACATTAATTGTTGTTGATGCTACTAACAACAATACACATACTTCTTTTACCTCTTTCTCTCTCTCTGCATCTGTCTATTTTACATATGCATACTTAATTCAATACAGTTCTTCTTTCCAATTGGAATGACTTAAAAAGCTAACAAGAATACGTTTGTTTATATATTTGTAAGAGATATAAAATTGCCAACGATTAATTCGAAACTTGTGTCCGCTGTAGATGATGCTGGTGGCAGAATGATGGTGGTGGTTAGCGTTGGGCAACTGTGTTGAAGGTGAAGCGGAGGCAGTCAGGTAGGCAAGCAGAGAAAGATAGAGTGAATACAATGTGCAAGTGGAAAGAGTGAGTATGTGTGTGTGTGTGTGTGTGTGTGTGTAAGAGAGAGGTAGAGAGAGATAGAGACTGACTCGAGGATATTCGAGTTATATACGTGTATGCATGTATGTATGTATGCCATATACACACAATCTGTAATCACGACGACTTCGGAGAATCGTTACGTGGAATGGAATGAGCAGCGCTCGGAATTATTATCTCCGTAATAATATACCCTTTTCTCTACGTGCCTCTTCTCGACGACGACCGCAGCAGAACGTTGCTGTTGTTGCGCTCTCGTGAGATATACGGCGACAATGGTAGCGGCGGCTCATGATAATGCAGCTCTATTTCTACATCGTATATAAATGATGACGACGACGACGACGACGATGATGATGATGACGAACGAGAGAAATGCCAACTACTTTACTTCTTTTTATTCAAAGGGCCGCGGCGACCCAGATTAGACGCAACCTTCTACTCCTCTTCCCACACGGAGGATCCAGTGCAAACGACGGTTACAGCAAAATGCACGTTAATTCTGTTCAAAAAGTTTCTGCTGCTCATCCTCATCTCCTCCTCATTCTCCTCACCTGTATATTTGATAACGGTCGTCGTCGGCGGAAAATCTCTGTTATTTATGGTACCATAGCAGTTCGAGGAGAGTAGAACCCAATGCCCATTACTTTTATGATATTTTATGATGACGGAGGAGGAGGAGCGCTTTAACTTTTCGCACCCCCCGCAGCTTCAACAGCTATTCGAACAAAGAACGTCTTCAAGAACAGGTAAAAGACGCCAACAGGTTGTATTATGGATGGAGAAAGAGAGAGAAAGAATAAGAAGAGTAGGAGCAGCATCTCGGTGGTAATCTCTGTGCATTCCTGTTGCAAGAAGCAAATGCCTCGTTCGCAAGCAATCTGTGCATTCTAAAAGTGGACTGGATTATTGTTTGTCGAAATAATAAACGTCGTCCTCCGCACTCTCGTTACTGCTGCTGCTGCTGCTGTTACTACTGTTTTTAAATAGCTAATAACTAGCTAGATCCAAGGACGCCGTTGTTGCCGTTGAAGGCGATCAAATCGATCAGAGGAGAGACGACGTTTCGTTACGTAAGAAACGTACGTGTTTGCGAATGAAAACCGAACCCGGATGCGAAACTGCTTTGCACCAAGTTTCCAGATCTCTCATTCTTCTCTTCGCCTCAGCACACACACATACAGAGTACCGCAAAATATCGCAAATTTAAAAGAACAAGAGCACGATGCGAACTGCAGCGGCGGCGGCGCAGACAAAAGCCGCGCTCGCATTTCTCTGTCATTGTTCCTTTTCCCTTTTTTTCTCTGGGTCCGCACAGAAAATACCATCGGATCGTTTAATTTTAATGGGCGATGATTTTATTGTGCTCGTCGTCGTTCTCGCGCGGTGCGATTATTTTGGATCGTTTCTTTGCTTCGAGAAGAAAAGAGAGAAGAGAAAAGAAAGGATAAACAACAAATAAATAGATAAATAAATTTGTGGCGTTCGAAGAGAGACCGAAGGAAACGACGACGAATCTCCAGCAATAAACGGCATTTTCGAATGTGTGTGTGTATGTGTAGGTAGAGGAAGGTAGGAGGTAGGTTTCAATAGTTGAGAGTTGGAAAAGGCACATGCAGCAGCAGCAGCAGCAAGCACAACGAGAGGTGAAATCTACAATACACACACACACACACACCTACCCACCACTCTCTTGCGTCAGATTGTAAACACACGCAACCAGATTTCACCTCTTCTATCCTTTCGATCTCTCTTTATCTCTATTTCTCTCGGTGCAGCTGAAACGAACTGCAACAAAATAACAAATGCTAGAGGTCCCCATTCTCGTAATTAAACTATGCCTTATTTTTGTCAGCTAAAATTACACAGGAACGCTGATCATCATCATCAACGGCGATGTCGCATCGGAGAAACGGACTGCTTTCGCAAACAACAGCAGGACGCATTTAAATATTTACCCAACAATTCACACAAGAATGAGAGCAGTAGATAGATAGATAGAGAAGGCGAGTGATATCGTATAATATTGAAAATGAAAGGTAAAAATATTGTCGGCGCGAAATTGTATCGTTGTCGTTTTGTGGACGAAAGAGACGAAGGATGAAAGGAGAGTAATCTAGCTTCTTATCACGTGCACATTAAATATTGATATTGTGAATGTTCACACGCAAACACATTGTAAAACGTCTAAATTGTGGTGAATATCATTTCAAAACCCTCGGCCTTATTGTCGCCTTGCTTTTCCTCTTCCTCAATCCCCCCACGCGATCATCATCATCATAATAATGATTGTGACATTGTGGCCTTCTATTCGTATCTACCCACCTTCCTCCACCCTTCTTCATGATGCTCTAAGCCACTCTAAGCGTATATAGCGATGGCAACGCGAATCTATTCGTTCTCGGTAATGCAATATACATTAAATTAATAGTGTGTATGATCAAGACGAAAAACTCGACGGTAAGAATAGTAGCAAAATAGTTAAAAGAGCAACAAGGCCAATTTCGTTCGTTTTAAATCCTCTCCTTCTCATGAGGCAGGAGACTCCAAACAGAGCGGCCTTTAAACATGTATCAAATTTATATACAAGACTTTCTAATTTGTAGAGTTGCATAGTAACACAAACCTACAATATATGTATATTATTCTGCGTCAATGTACAATAATACATATTGTAGAAATAACGCGGATACATCATTATTTCTTCGAATGTTTTATATGCTTAAAGTCAAATGAAATTGAAACGACGAAGAAAAAGGAAATACCGGAATTATTGTGTGCGCGCACATGCACAAAGGCAGAGGGAATTGAGAATTTCTGCTTTGCTCGGCAAATGCTGTTGCTGAGCGAAAGGAAATCGTAGGACCCCGCAAAGTATAGTTGCTGCTGCGCGCAACGGGCAATTTCCTCGATCTTAAATGGTCACTTTCTTATTTCGACATCTTTCGAATGAAGACAGAAATAAAAAAAGCAAAATCACGCCGATTTTACAGGCAACGACGAAGGATTACATAATTAATGATTTGCAAGTGCGTTTCTGCCGTGGCAAGACGACGCGCTACATATTTTTAGTTTGAAAGAGACAAAAATGTTAAGCAAACACACACAACGACGCACCGACAACGTCGTCGTAGAAGGTGTACACAAATAGGTACAACAATACATCATAGTATGTATCTATGCATGCATGCATAAATACAGATAGATAGAGAGCACATCTGCGTGTGGGAATCGAATCGGTTGTTGTCTGTTGTAATAACATTAGCGACAACGACGACGACACAACACAAGAATCTATTATACATTCATAAATGGATGAATGTTTACAATGTGTGTGTGTGTGTGTGTGTGTTGAGCTAGAAAAAATGTGTGAGAGTATACATGGTATAATAAAAATAAACGAAAATAAAATTATTGATAATAATAATAATATGCGTTGAACAGTTTAGAAAATCGTTCGGATCTAAGGTAATACGACGACAAGGAATGATCCGAAGATGGATGAAAACATGAAATATTGGACTTGAGAGCGAATGGTGGTGGGGCGCGTGGAAGGTTTGGCTGGCTTAATAGGAGGAGAAAAGATTTGAGCAAGGAACAAAACGTTATGTTGTAGCCACACGCTAATGGCTGCACGCTTCTACCGATCGACCGACCGACCGACCGTGACC